AGAGAGAGAGAGAGAGAGAGAGAGAGAGAAATAGATGGTGTAGTGACAGACTGCTGACTAGGGCCTAGTGATAGTTGGTAGATGTGTGGTATATATGTAATGTCCAATTCGCTCTTACTCGATGGTCAAATTTATACATTTTGACCACAATATTTACACTTTACGATAATGTCACCTCGTGTTTGACCATTATTTACTAAATTTTGACTTCGTCATGGCCATTGATATGATAGATCCCTTGGTACACAATTATTCTCGTTTCTTTCATTACCTTTCATTCTCACTTAATCCAGTGAGAATGATTCTTAGTGAAAGACTAAATATACATCGTAGGCCTAAAATATGATGATCTAACGACGAAAAAAAGGCAAAATTTTACACTCCTTAAAGGTATATTGGACATTGTCCCCACCCATCCAACCTCTCCTCGAGGGGAAGGAAAACCCCCTCGCCTGCGTCACAACGTTAACCAGAATACGACGAAGAAAGAGACGCCAATGGAAAACTGAGATGATCGGGGTAAGCAGGTTGGTCCAGATGTCCCCAAATAGGAGGTTAGGCCGGTCATCCCAGCCGAACTTCACCCCAAGCCGAGGTTGTAGAGAATGCATCCGAAGATGTAAGTCTCCATCTCATACTGCCTAAATCACCCTTTTGACGAATTTATCAAAATGTCATCGCGTTACAGAATGCACAATAGTGTGGACGAACTGCACATGAATGACTGTAAATATGCACACTAACGTTCTAACATATTTTGCGCAATAACAAAAATATCCGCGTGTTAAAAGTCAAAAGTACACATAATAACAACAATGTCACCGCCCCTTTGACGAGTGCCAGAGTCTTTGACCGACCCCGGAGTATTGATACATTGCGTCCACAGTTACAATTCATTCTTATTTCTTTTATTATCTATTATTCTTATTTGATACTAATTTTATATATAATTTATATTCTAAAACATTTAAAATTGTAAAACCAAGAAAAACATTGAAAACTGATCAAGGATAATATTCTCGAATTGAAAAAGAACAAACTGCAGAAATCATTCAAATCTTCCTTGCACAGGTTCTGGTATAGTGATGTATTCAAATCATTCAAAATCTTCCTTGCACCTATTATTTCAATAATGTACTGTTTCTGTTTGTTTGAACCGAACAAACTTTCTTCTTTGAAAAATAAAAAATAAAAAATAGTATATAATTAAATAACATGATTTTGTCTAAATAAATACTTTATTAAATAACAATATTAAATGCATACTGCAATTTTTGTCCACTTATACAAGCATGAGCAGATTCGGTTAAATCCTCTATATAATAATCAATCCCTTGGATTATTCATCACCCATAATCCAGTTTACCAAACGCTCTACTAAAAGAGAAAAGGGACAAAAAACAAAGAGCGAAAAAGCAAGTACTGTGTGTGTGCACTGTCTTCTTCCTACCCATTACCCATTGAGCTCACTCTCTGTACCTTCCCTTTACCCTTTCATCTTCCCAAGAATTTGTATCCCAACAGCTAAGAAACTCAGAAAACCCAAAAAAATGCGTCTCCCATGGCTCCTCCTCTCTGTCTTGTTCCTCCACCTCAGCCGCACCTCCACCGCAGCGCCGCCGCGGATGACGGAACACCGTGCCTTGCTCTCTGTCAAAGCCGCCATCGCCGAGGACCCGCAGTCGGGCCTGGCGTCGTGGAAGGACTCCACGGAGCACTGCACGTGGAGGGGAGTCACGTGCGATTCCTCGCGCAGGCACGTGACTGCGCTGGACATCTCCGGCCTGGGCCTCGTCGGAACCCTTTCCCCGGACATAGGCCAGCTCCGGTTCCTAGTCAATCTCT